GGCGTCTGCGCCGGCCAATGGCCTCCTTCGCCGGCCCCTGGGCGGCTCTTCTCGGGCTGCCCGGCCACTCTCGCGAGCCTTCCCCTTTGCGCATGCGTTGCGAGCTCCGCCCCTGGGGCGAAAACTACAGTACAATATTTGGAAAAAACTCCTTCACTCGTATTAAAATACATAGAATATATAGTTGGTGTATAATAACTAACACAAGATTATCTTGGAAGAGAATGGGCAAATTACCGAGAGGGAAAAAATGTTACCTGCGCCGCCCGGGAATCGAACCCGGGTCGCAAGAATGGGAATCTTGCATGATACCACTACACCAGCGGCGCGGATGGAAAACACCTCTGAAAGCGCATCCTACGAAGCAGAAACGCCTTGGGATTCCTGCGCCCCTGGAAGCAAAAGGTTTTATTTCTATAGTGCAAAGTGAACACTTCCTCTCCCAGGATCCATCCCCGCATCCGGCGAACAAAAAGTGTGTGTGCGTGAATAATGCACCCGAAGGCTCCAGCCCTAGACCACTTTAGCAAATGCAGCCTCTGCATGCACCCATCAGGGTTCGCCCTGCCGGATGGGATCCTCTTTCCTTCCAAAGGCACGTGCGCCTTAGAACAAATTCTCCCCCCATTTATTCCCAAGTGAGGGAGACTCCATTTGTTCCAATTCCAACAACCCCCTCCCCCCCAAAAAATTACAATGCTTTTGCACCTCTCCCGATTGCACACAAACACACACACGAGGGGGTCTTGAGTCGCCAGGGTTCCCCTCTTCATGGAGAAAGGGAACCGAGTAGGGGATTCCCCGCGGATCGTGGCCTCAAAAGATCCCGGCTGGGAAGGGGTTAACCCGGGCTGCTGGCTCTGAAAAAAGAGGGGGGGGGGCGTGGGAGTTGCAGGGGAGGGGCCCCCCCCCCGGGTCTCTCTCTCCCCCCGCGTGGAAATGGACAGGGCCCAGCTGGCCGGCGCTTCTGAAGACATTTGGGAGTCCGATCCCCCCACCCCCACCCCCACCCGTGGGAGACCGCCGGTTTTAAAAG